GGAATGGCACCCCAATGCCAGTTCCCGATTGCAAAGCTATCGAGTTAGGCTCTCAACCAAAACGATGTCTCTCATCACGTCTAGTCCGAACCTCATTTCCCTTGCCTCGTTATTGTCATTTAATCCGCCTTCGTTTTACTCAGCTGCAAAGCAAGTCCGATAGGATTACGGCTGGGATTCTTTTCGCGTTCACTTGGGAGCAAGTGCCGATAAACTCGGGGAATTACTCCCGAGTAAACCCGCACCGGTTCAGGCTCGCAGCCAGTTGTCAGTCCACTCCCCCCCCCCACACACACACACTGTTTCTAGATGTGTCCATGAAGTCCACCGAGCAACCGGTTTTTCTACCATTGGCGTCGCTAGGATTTCCCCCCCTTTTTTTTGCAGCGCGCACACATCCCCTCAAACAGCCGCAGAGGTGGGGGCGGGGGGAGAGAGAGAAAGCGCCACGAGACAAGCTTGGAGACAGCCGCGTGCCACCCTCGAAAGCGGTCGTCTGAATTCAGAGCGCGCGCGCGCACATCCACAGCTCTGGGCTCGCTTTTCGGAGAGGCTCCGAAAGACCGCTTTGCCTCCTCCCCTACGCCTTCCAAGGCCCTTGGGAGTTTCAGGAAAGGGTTAAGGAGACGCTGGCTGGCCGAGCCGAGCAGGAGAGCTCAGCCAACGGAAGCGGCAACAGCTACGCCGGCCGCCGCAGCCAAGTGGCAACAGCGCCGGGCTTCCACCGAGGCTTGACCCAAGGCAGCGACAGCCGGGCCTGAGATGGACCGCAGGAGCACGAGGTGTCTGATCGGGGCTGGCTCTTGCCAAAAGGGAAAGGCACCCGTGCGCGCCCTGGCTTGACCCGAAGAGCGCGCGGGAAGGAAAGGCAAGACGTCTGCGCGGCGAGGTGGCACCTGTGGGCGGGGCCGCCTGCCCGCTTTCAAGAGCCGCAGCCCGGGGTCAAGCGCTCTTTGTTTGGGGGGCAACTTGGCAGGAGCTGAGGAAGAAAGCGCCGAGTCTGCTGCCGGCGAGGGAGGGCGCGCTGGGTTCTCTTTGAGCCTTTCACCCCCAGTCAGAGGAAGACCGACAGCTGGGGGGCGGGGAGCAAAGTCGCGGTTCCTCCGACTTCAGACAGGAGCCGGTCGCTTTTGCGGGACCTCCTTTTTCCCGCCCCCGGGCAGGTCTGCACGGCGCTCTCGCTCAGCGGCTTCTTTCCGCGTGTGGAGTTAACGATAGCTTCGTGTCCTTTTCTTCCCCTGCCTTCGTTAAGGGAGACTTGGCTGGGAGGAGAGAGTTTCTTGCCCTTTGGTCTTTGGAGAAGCCCTGGGCCAAACTGACACGAAGGGCGAGGGGGAAAGGTGAACTCTAACGCCAGGGAAGTCGCGTCTCCGTACATTTGCAATTAAAAATAATAATAATTGGACGCTTGGTACCTGTGCCGAAGCTTACCTTTTCGCTCGACGGCCGTGCTTTCTTTTTTAAAGGAAAGTTCAGGAGTCCTTCCCCAAGCTGTAATGAAGCGGTTACTGGAGAAGGAAATACATCTTCCGACGGCTATTGGCCTGGCTGGGCTGAAGATGCTGCCAGGGGCTGCCCGGGCTTGTTGACGCCCGGCCTTGGCCCCGCTTTTGGAAGATGGTTCTCTTTGGGATTACACGTGGCGAAAGGCGGTCGCTCCGAGGGAGAGCGGGCTGGTGAGACTTACCTGACGCGCTGTTTGCTCTGGGGACGTCCTTGGCTTCAATGGCTCCATCTCCCAGGAGAAGCAGCAGGAAAGATGCTAACGCTCTGCCAAGCGCCTCCTCAACTTTCTGGGCAGTTATGATCTTGGTTGGCCTCCTCATCGCCTACTGCAGTAAGTCTCACTGCAGCCAGATGTAGGGGTTTAAAGGCCTGCCCCTTCCTTTGGGGCAGGTTGTCTGCTTTAGGGAAATGCATTCGAATTCTAGGCCAAGCTGTCAGTCTATCCTGATGCCTTAAGTTAGGTTGCAACCAGCCCCTCTCAGGGTTCTAAAAGCGCTTTAACGAAACATAAAGTGTTATGCAAAACCTTGAAATACAAACGGAATGTTTTATTCCCCTGTTGACCGAAATAGGCAAGCCAGTTCTTATGGAGCAGAATTTAGTATTGTAAATATTTGTTCCCTCAGACCCTATTTATGTCTCTAATTTGAAGCATGTTTTCCTTGTGTGAATCTCTTGCTGTCTCCTTATCCAACCTTCACTTCTAGTGCCCCTAGACTTCATGTAAAGATGCTGGTGTTAATTTCTTCGGGGAGAGCAGAACTTGCTCTGGTGGCAGATGACTTAATGTCATTGGCATCACTTTCAATTATTTAGCTAGATTTGTAGTGTGTCCCATGCCGACTGCATTATTTGACAATGGGAATATGGTCATATCCTTAGTGTATCCTTAGCATTATTTCTGCACTATAAGACAGTCCACTGTCCATTTCCAAACTAACAGACTTCTTGATTTTAATTTATTTTCTGTACTATACATTTCAGACTCCTGCTTGATTCAGCTAAAAATGTAGTACACTGATTGTCTGAACGTGGAAGGGTATGCAGTGTTGATCGAAGTATAGCTACATTTCCTTTATAAACAATATGATAAAATGTTCCTTGTTCGAAGCATTCCATTTTATAATGTGGATTAGTGACAGTTCTTGAGTGGCATATGTTCTTTCTGTTTTAAATGTGGGGGGGTAGGCTGTTGTTTGATCAACAACAAAGAAAATACGATTTGGAGGCTTCACAAAATAAAACTGCTCAAGTGAATTTTCATATAAGTCTGAGTTGGGGGGGGGGATTCTTACCTTATCTTTGTGGTGCTCACTACCTGACTTAACATGTCACTGAAATATTTTTATTTTAATATTAAGATGTTAATTCAGTAATATGTTATGCTCAGATGAGAAACATATTAGTTTCGCAGAGCATATTCCATATTCTTCTGCTCTCTCTCTCAAACTGTGTTAAGTTTGCCATTCCTCAGCCAATACTGTGGGAAATTGCAGTGAATTATGAAACTCAGTTAATCTTTTTATGTGTTTTGCCATGCTTGAAATCTTCACTCATTAACTTTTGTAAATCACAGACTTGCATACTTTCAAAATAAAACCCAGTAAAAATGGTCAGAATACTTTTAAACGACACATTAGAGGTGTGTTTTAATTTAATAGTCCATTTTTAAGTGATAACTTGCAAGTAACTTAAAACATGTACTTGATGTGCAACTAAATTTTCTTATGATCAATACATGCATATCGGACTATAAAGAATTTTAAGCTACATTGTCTCCTATTTTTGAACATTCATCGGATGGTAAGATGCTTATTTCTAGAAGTTTGTCTGTGCTTACAGACTAGATTTATTCCAGCAACTTTGAAAAAGATATTTCTTAGTATCATCATGTTTGAGCTTATATCAAACTAGGGAATATTGCTTTCTATTTTTCAAGCTATGGAAGGATGGGGTTTTTGTTCGGTCTACTTGGACATTGCACTGTTAACTAGAGAGAACCTTAATGTTTTTAAATATATAAATCTTGCCTTAGTTATTGTTAAATATGCTATAGCTATTGTATGTCAAGCAACTCTGAGCAACCACCAGACAGCTAAAAAATACATAGTATCATGATATTCCATTAGTTTTTCAGTGACTAACTGTGAGTCTTAAGCAGAGTTACACCTTTCTTCAATGGATTTAGAAGAGTATAACTTTGTTTAGGATTGCACTGCTAATTACTAAGTGTTCAAATTTGAAATAAAGCACAATTTATGTAGCACCTGACTGCTACAATATTAGAAAGCCCTGGAAGAACAGTAAAAGTATTGTGTGGTAGGGAGAGCTGTCACATACAGCTTCTGATGTGCTTTTCTCCAATTCATTTTTAATAAGATAAAGATTAAAATATTTTGTTTCCTCTCCAGACCAGACATAGAATTAATGTGTTGGAAATGTCTTTTTAATTGAGACTGTTGAACATTTAGCAAGTAATGAATATTTCTTACTTGTTTGATTATAATGCTCAGGAGATTAATAGACTTATGAACATCTTCACCACACACAGAGAGAGTGTATTTAGGGGGGGAAACACCATGCATGCATTAAATCTAGTATCCTGAGTACGAAGAATGCAAGTTGTTATAGCTGCTGCAAAATTTCAACTTTATTCACTTCTCCATTGTATGTGGGGAATCTCAACTTAATTGAAATATTGTTGCTTCTCCTTAGTCCTTTCTTAATATTTTAAAAACTCAATATGCTTGTTTTGTATAATATGGCAGCTTTGTGAAAAGATGCAGGTAGTAATGATTGCAACACATATAACGTCACAAAATCTTTAAAATTCATCAACACTGTGTAATTAGAACTGAATTTTTGAGTTGCTTTAAGTAATGGTTGCTTGGTATGTCCCTAAAGATGGTAATCTGACAGCTTTCTTTCCCTGAATGCTTGGTTTAGTGGCTCCACCCAATGGTTGAAGGGGAGACCTGTACTAGACCAATTAAGTTAGTTGCTATAGTGATAAAGCTTTAACAGGCATTTCCTCTGGAGGAATATATCTCCGGGATTATGAAGGCTTTTATAGAGGCAGTGGAAAAACTAGGAGGAAGTGACTCTCATAAAGTAGTAAAATAAATTTCAATAATACTGTTAAAACCTTAGTCAGGTTTGTTTGTGTTGAGCAGTCTGTGCAGAGCTTACAGTTTCACAAAAGAATGCAAAACCATTGGCACATGATCTGTAATAGAATCTAGATTTGCAAACTCACTAAACTGAAGTAGACTGGAGAGAAATGCTTTTTTAAGATCAGCACATCTGAGATGTTAGTAGTGTGATAAAACACATGCCTTCAAGCAAAACATATACCTCATTGTTCAGTATATCCAGGGTGTCCAGATAAATTCATATTTAACTAAATTGAACACAGAGACTATTCCACTAACAGTTGCATTTGGGAAAATATTTCAGCGCCTTCATGGTAGAGGATGTTGCATGTGAAAATGTAATTGTATAGCAGAACTAACACTCCAGAGTGTGTGTGCATATGTGTGTGTGTGTGTGTAAAACACTTTGGTTCAGTAGTGTAACACAAAACTATCTTTGGAACAGTGAGGTATTGGTGATAGAGTTCTTAGGCTAAGCTAGAGCTGGACTATAGAAAACTGAAAAGCAGTTACATAGTATTTCTTTCCTTACTGAAAACTTTGGGCCACTGTCCACAACTACCTTTAATGCTAGCAGAGACTTCCAGATGCTAGTGGTACACATGAGGCAAGGGGGCATATGTAAAATCCAAATTTCTTGCACATTAGTTTGAATGAAGTTGCTTTTCTTAGTTCATTAATGTTTCTGATGCTCATTGGACAGTTCCTTTTTTAGCTATTGTGTTGCATAGAAGTATATTGAAGACAGTGGAAATTTAAAATATGTATCTTAAGAATGAGCATAGCATATTATTCAGCCTTATTACCTTGTTTCCAGTTTTGGAGTACCAAGTACCTGTGAGGAAATGCCTGTGTAGGATCTGTTTAGACAATCAGATACAAATTTGCAGGGGTTTGGGACTGACAGGAGCAATACCTAAATCTTTCTTTAGTGTGAATGTATGGAAAAGGGCTGTTGCTGCTGGGAGGTGGGGGCTGTGGGCCTCTGAACTGAGCCAGCTGGGCTGGGAGACAGAATGTAGGAGAGTTGCTAGGAAGGAAGGGTTTTTAAAAATTATTTTGACTTTCCTAAACTGTTAAAATCACTGGAGAGCATTAACTGAGGTTGCTTTGTAAGATGACAGAGTTTGAGGGTGAGTGGGTGCTTGTAGACTTTTGAAGAGTAGTGTTTTTGTCTGGGTCTGTTTGGGTCTTTAGTCTGTTGCTCACTGAGCAAGGTCTGTTTGAAAAGAGTGTTATAGGATTTGAGAGTGAGGGCACGAGAGTGACTCAGGGCCATGTGTGGTGACTAAGGAGCTGAGGGAGGCAAGGGTTACTGGAGAGGGAAACACATTATAGGTGTCTGTATGCCAGTGCTAGAAGTCTCTGAGCCATGTTCAATGACAATTTAAATAATAGATATCTCTGAAACCTGGTGGAATGGGGAGAATCTATGGGATACAGTCATTCCTGGGTATAAGGTCTATAGACAGGACAGGAAGGGCTGGGTTGTTATTGATGTTGTGTTGTACATCAAACAGGCCATACAATCAAATAAGTTAGAAAACATCAGGAAAATTAACCCCCGAACAGAAGCAATATGGAGGGAATGCTGAGCCTTAAGGGCTAACCGAAAGTGGGATTGTACTATCACCCACCTGATCAAACCCTTGAGGCTGATCTTGAGATAGAGAAGGAAATGAGGGAGGTGACTAAAGCAGATAATGTTATTATACTGAGAGACTTCAACTACCCACACATTGACTGAGTAAATGTTTGTTCGAGTCATGCTGTAGAAGTTTGATTCCTAGACATCATAAATGACTGTTTACGCTGGTCACAGAGCCAACCAGAGGCGAGGTGATCTTGGACTTGGTTCTAAGCAGGTCTCAAGACTTGGTGAGAGATGTAGAGGTTCTTATATCAGTTGGGAACGGTGACTACAATGCTATTAAGTTCAGCATTCAGGTCAATGGATAGTTACCCCTAAAGTCCAAAATTGTAACATTTTATTTCAAATAAGGGAACCTTAAACAATGAGGGGAATAATAAAAAAGGAAGCTGAAGGGGAAACACAAGAGAGACAAATCCCTAGCGGATGCTTGGAAGCTATTTAAAACTACATTAATTGAAGCCCAAACAGAATGCATTCCACAGGTTAGGAAAGGCACTGCCAAGTCTACAAAAAGCCCTGTGTGGT